GAAACATGAAACATACATTCTGATTGCGTTCTCTTTCCTTTCCACCATTCGCGCTCTAGTCGCTCTAATATCTCACATAGTTCTCGACTTACAGCAGCAACATCGTACTATTGTTTTAGAAAACTTATTCAAAGGTGTATGTCCTTTGTTGCTTCTTATATCGATAGCAGCATTTGAATGTTGAAGATGACTTGTGACGAAGCATTATTGAGTGCGTCCATCAAAATCCTTCAGATCAACTTTAGAGTCACGCATAAGCAAAAACTCGACTACTCGACCATGACCTGCGAGTGAAGTTTTCAGAAGTGCCGTCTAATGGCAAAACAGTAAGCCACTTGTCAGTAATGGAGATGGATAAAGAAGAGGCGACGATATCATTATCAAATGTACAGACAGTACGATCAATGTGTTCTGTTTGAGGTGAAAATGACTAATATGGTCAATATTAATTTGTATCGGAGGTTAAATAATGGAAATCTGTTGGTCTCAATATGTTTTATTCTTTGGGGGTTTATTATTATTGACAGACTGTAACCTGAATTTCAATTCCTATTAAATGCAAAAAGAGAATCCCCCTGAACGTTGATAGGGTGGATTGTAACACATTAATAGTAATTGTGGCAGATTAAAACGACATCGGATTATGCCGACTTTGGGGTCTTCTTGAGTCCACTCTGAACCCACATATTACCTTAAATTCTAGTCCAAATTCAAAAAGTCTAAAAAAATTACCCCTCAAATTTTTATATTAAGTTGTGTCGTTTTATTTCCTGCATAATCTCCGGAGAGAATCAAGGCTCCATCAAGCAATGCCCGGAGAAAGACTCCCCAGGCGCCATTTTCATCTCGATCTATGACAGTCCCACAGTTTAGGCACTTGTACATCTCGGACAAAAAATATTGGGACCAAAAGGAAATTACCCTACTAAAAAAAATGGTTCCTTGACCGAAAATATATTAGAAGAAATTAGCAAATTTCAGCAAGGAGAGAATGAAATAAAGACTGATAAAGGTGGTAATATTCAAACAGTAATCGGCAATAGTAATTTTAGCCCAGAACAATTAAAAGAAAATTATAAGATAACATATGAAAAGATAGTTGAATTGTGTCCAGTGGGTTGGAAAGGGACTGCCTAAAAAGCATAACCCTTTCTACTACCATGGGTCCAGGGTTAAAGATATTAAAATAATGTTAAAGGCAATAATAATAACTAATAATATATAAAAAGAAATATGGCAAAAACAAAAATTGTATTTAAAGTAGCAGAAATTATTAATAACGACCGAAATAAAGGACCTGTTGCAATCAAAATTGAGGAGGTAGATTTTCCCACTGGTAATGGAGATGAAAAAACTAAAATTACAGAAATATTTTTTGTAGGGCAAAAAAATATTTTCTTACTTGCCGACAGGAGGAGCTTCTGGAGTTAGTCCTGGTTGAGGATTTGGATTTGGTCCTGGTTGAGGATTTGGATTTGAATTTGGATTTGGATTTGCCCTATTTTTTGACGTGTAGGCCTCATTTTGGATAATAACATGGACCCCCAATTCTTCTGATTTAGCCACCAGACGTTGGCGGACTCGATAGTGGGACAGAGCATTTTACGAACGGCTTTGCGTGATATCTTTCTTGTTTTCGATTTACCATATTCGATACGCCAAAAGGAGGAATGATAATTTGCGCGTAAAAAATGCGACGCTATTTGTATGAATTTCACTTTGTAGGCGTTTGATTTTTCGTCGCATCCGAAGATTGCCGTATCAAGTTGCAAAGCTTGTTTCTTCTTACGTCTTGAACTAGAGGTCGCCAGTTTGTCCTTTTTGGAAAGTAAATTATCCATGTGCTTGCACAGACGAATAATTCGTCCAATGTCGTATTGGCTAATTTTACTTACACCTTTAATAGAAGAGTACCACGTGAAGGGCCAGGGTCAATGGAAACTGTATTAACAAAATCATCCGCTTGGGTTTCGCGGATTTGTTTTTTCGCCTCTCATAAAAGTTTCCATTTATTCGTTTTGCGAATATATGTGAGCTTGCAGTCGGACGTTACTCGGTGGGGAACAGGCCACTTATTGTTCCGCCTTCAAGAGCACGTTTGTCGTCCAGCGTGATAACAGGTTTATGGCGATATGCAGAAAGCATTGATAGGTGACATAAAAACAGTTCCACGTAATTTTTGAAAATTCTGCGCACGAATTGCTATCGTTTGTCGCAAATCCTTCCGAGAGCGAAATGATAAAGACGAAATGTGCCGGTGCCTGGTTGATCCGTTAATTATCCATCCCTAAAATTAATACACGTGCAAAAGTATCCTACTGATTGTAATTCAGGACAGGAATAATTAAACTCTGAGAATTTCTCTGCATATAGTGTACAACAAACCCTGATTATGTGTAAACTTTCAGATCGATCGGATGACAGCAAATTTACAAACATCTATCTGAACCGTTAAAAGCATATGAAACCACATAAAACCGTATGCCGCTTATTAGGGACATAAAACTTTAAAAATCCATATCTCCACATGTTTGTAATCGATTTGTATAATTTTTTTTTGTGTTGTCTGCTAAATTTTACGTTCTTGGAGTGTTAGTCAAAATTAGGAGGAAACTGTTACTATATTTGGTAATAAGCGTGTATGATATCATAAATTGTCATCATGTCACATAATTATTTGCAATTACGCAGTAATTCGTTCAACAATCATGCTGATGGTCTAGGAAAAACAAGTAAAAAAAAATACAGTTTGGTTGGGAAGGGGTCGAGATATAAAATTTTGAATTGTATGCTAAATTTGAGTATGGGTATAGTTAAAATATTTGATGTTTGAAACTTTTGCTGTACCTTTGCCACGTTACTATATGTGTATTAATTTTAGGGATGGATAATTAACGGATCAACCAGGCACCGGCACATTTCGTCTTCATCATTTCGCTCTCGAAAGGCTTTACGACAACCGATAACAATTCGTTCGCAGAGTTTTTCAAAAACCACGTGGAACCGTTTTTATGAGACCTATCTCCATAATCCATCAATGCCATAAGCCTGTTATCACGCTAGACGACAAACGCGATTTGTGGCCTCTTTATTACGGAGAAAGAGAGGACATACCAATAAGTGGCCTGTTCCTCACCGAATAACATCCGACTGTTAATGCAGTTTCCATTGACCCTGGCCTTTCACGTGGTACTCTCCTACTAAAGGTGTAGGTAAAATTGGAGATTTGCGTTCTTTATTACCTACGTAGGTAAAATTGGCCTATACGACATTGGACGCAAATACATGGATAATTTACTTTCCACAAAGGACAAACTGGCGGCCTCTAGTTCCAGACGTAAGAAGAAACAGGCCTTGCGACTTGATACGGCAACCTTTCGGATGCGACGAAAAATCAAACGCCTACAAAGTGAAATTCATACAAATAGCGTCGCATTTTTTACGCGCGAATTTGGTGCCATTATCATTCCTCCTTTTGGGGTGTCGAATATGATAAACTCGAAAAACAAGAAAGATATCACGCAAAGCTGTTCGCCAACGTCTGGTGGCTAAAGCAGAAGAATTAGGGGTCCGTGTATTATCCAAAAAATAGGAGAGACCGAGATGTACAAGTGCCTAAATTGTGGACCGAGATGAAAAATGTCGCTCGGGGAATCTTTCTCCGGGCATTGCTTGATGGAGCCTTGATTCTCTCCGGAGATCATGCAGAAAAAAGTAATTACTATTGATGTGTTACAATCCATCCGAGTTAAAATCTCAATTCCGCGAAAGGCCAGCAGACACATTATCATTAACCATATTAATATTAATATATCCGTAGAACTGATTGTCAAGTATATCAGCATTCGACAATCTTTTGCAAATTCCTAATCCTTTCTTTTCTGATGTAGTTTAAGAAAGCCGCGCAATATAGTTGTATTCACTTTCCCCGTTTGTTATAGTAATAGTACAAATCTGAGCATCGACGTATGAAAAGACTTGCGTTTCCAAGAGGCTCGGCAATTGGGTTGAGCAACTTGGATTGCATTGGATCGTAATGATGAAAAGATTGTAATGATAACAGCGTTGAGACCAAACATATTTTCTGTAGGTAACTCTGTAGACATCTTTTGGAGAGTACCATAATACTTTAAATGCAACACACAAGTTTATTATGGTGTGGGTGATGAAAATATAGATACAAAGAAAAATGGGAAACAAAGGGTTATCGGAAAGGGAATTGAAAGGTAATCATTATAATCATCTCTTTCTACAAAGGTATAAATATTAAACAAATAAAGTCGTTCCTGACGCCTCTTGAAGGGATTGGCATGATATGCAGAACTCTTTTCTAGATCATTGATTGGAATTGAAACGCTTTAGTCTAGTTTCTTGAATAATAACTATCTGATTTCATTTCTTTGCTTTATTCATGAGTGGGTTTACAGCACACATCCAGATACGAGTTTTGTAGATCTTAAATAGATCGCGCACCAATTCACGGAAGTCGATACGACGCTCAGCGATGAAGTAGAAAGTGAGCTTGCGTCGATCCCTATCAAATATGCGAGTATTATTTATCAGCATCGGAATTACACAAATTAGCGCCAGTAACATAAGTGTAAAAAAAAGCAACTGACCATTGGTATTCAGCATCAACAACTTCCATAGGCAACTTCTTCTGACGAACTTTGGTCTGACAGACTAGCATCGCTTTCGCTTCATCTTGATTCTTGGTTACTAACATAGTAACTTCTGCCGGCTGAGCCAGTCGATAAATGCGTTTGGGATGAATCTCTTTATTCACTCGATGTCCATCATTCATAGCTTCTGCTTGCTGTTGCAGAATTTGGACTTGCTGTGGCGTAATTGAATCGTTCGTTATTTTACCAAGATCCTTTCCTCGATCAGCCTCGACAATTACAAGGTCACCCTTCTTCACAACTACACCACTATTTTCAGTTACGTAGAAGAGATCCGTACGTCCGGCTTTGAATTCGACAAGATATAGAGGACCGTGAGTTGGGATAGCATGAAGTGGAAGACCTTTGCCAAGTTCGTTCCATGCTCTCGTGCGAGATTCGTCATTGTCAAAATAATCATCAACGTCTTCAGGAATACTTGGATAGCTCGTCTCATTTGTGTATGATACGGGTTGGTTACTAATATGAAGATTTTCAAGAGCTTCCGGCAGATGGTAACGGGATGTCTGAGGAAGGGATATAGCTGGTCCAGCGACTGAGTGACGTCTTTGTGCGAGATGTGCATAGCCAGCAGGATCAATTGTCGGGCTAAACCAATGATAAGTATCAAAAAATTAGTAATGATTATATAATGTGATGAATGCACATTCCGAGTCGATATTGCTACGATAATTGAATATCAACTGCGATTTTTAGTTATTCGATTATTTAAAGAGCTCGTTAAACAGCTAATGTTTATAATTTGGATCGTTAAGCAACCGCCAACACCGCTACAGGACCATTAGCATGTCTGCTTACCGATTGCTCATCATACGTAAATCAGGCGTTCCGTCCATAAATCGATATTCATGCCCATAGGGAGTAGCTTGCGAGACTGAAAACCTTCTTTGCCTCAGTTTCTCGTATCGCTCCTGTTCCGTTGTGGAAGTCATGGCCGCCAAATAGGCTGCAGCTGGCGCCGAAGCATTAAAACTCTCCCACATTCCTGGATAATCAGAGGTCGCAGGCATAGATCGTCGGTGATGTAGCAATGGTCCTTCACTATGAGCACCTTGAGTGTTCCAAATAGATCCGGACTCTGAATACTCAGAATCACGACGATAATCGTTAACATCTTCAGCATGAGGAACTTCCTGGTGGGCAGAAATAATTCCGTATGCTGCAGCAGAAGATTTAGAACGACCCCGGAATCGACCGGAGTATGGTAGGTCATCAACTTCCTCCTCCATAAGTGGCAGTGAATGCAATGTATTACGATAAGGAATACTATCCCGCCGAGATTGAGGAGCATATCCGAAAAATAAATCGGTGTCATGTTGTCCAACGGAGAACGATAGACTTCTCTGCTGTCGATATTGTGGATTCGGTGGAACAGGTATAGGCAATTTCCCCATGCCCGGTGGGGAACCTATATCACGTTCATAAGAAGAATTATTATTGACCTCTTCATTCGATACCACCGGCGGTGGTGTTGGAGATGTACGTGAAGTGCCTTTAGATCCTGAACCGGATCCTTGTTGTTGATTTTGACCGTTCCAAATTGATGTACTCGTCCATTGCAAACCAGGTAGGGCCCCCCACTTACCGTTAGCAACGTCACCGTTTGAATGCACAATATTCGGCTGCTGCTGTTGTTGGATTTTCGATGGTGAAGCATTGGATAGCAATCGAGATGTCAACTCAGATCCTCCGTTTAAGTGTCTTTGGGGTGTACCTGGAGTGCTGGATGGTCTGCGTAGTTTTTGTTCCTGGACATCGTCATCAGATTTTTTACCAGTCGAAGCTTGGTCATCGGAGTTAGGAGGGATCGAATGAATGACACGATTCGGTGGACTTCCCACGACTTTCCAACTTTGACTGTATGGAGCATTAGTTACAGAAGTTGTTGGCGAATTGGGAGCTGGTGATGGGCTGTTCTTGCCGCTGTGGGATTCACCGTTGGCATTAGAGGTTTTTTGTGTGACAGAAGCGGGGCTTCCGGATCTGCCGGTGGACTTGGACTATGAGGGAACAGAAAGGGGAATTTTGAAAGGTGTGTATGTAATGACAAGGTTGGGTAATTCGGAACATACACAACAGAAAGAGTAAAGCGTCATGTTAGAACGAAGCCCAACAAATAATGAATTGTCTACATGATACGGGATCGATCAAATCTCCTTTTTCTGCTTCCTACAGTTAAGTTAGGGTAATGTATCAGTTGGCTGTGGTGTTAAGCACCATTTATGATAACGCTCACCATTTTCCAAGCATTGTGAACCGTCTTTGTTGTCTCATGTGACTGAACGAAACAGAAGAAGGAATTAGCGGCATGACAAATATGTACGATAACGCAGCAATCTCAACGCCCAATGCGCACCCAGCGGGGGGAGCAGTCGCAATCTTGGTTTAATATAGTAAATCTTTCATACCTCCATAACTTTTAAACTTTAATGCTCCTAAGGTATTGTTTATTTATAAGGAGGGGAGGTGAGTTTAAAATTTTTTAAGAAAGAAAATCGTAAGTTTAGGCCACTATGTAGAGACAACGTACAACAGCAGTTCACGACAAAGAAGAGTGGGTGAAAGCCTAAACGTATCGTACTATACCTTACAGAAAAGAAAAAACTCTGTTGCTTACACAAATAAATATTATCGTACAAACTGTTGAAAGAAAAAAGCTACAAAGGAAAGAAGAAAAGGTTGTGCAAACCCACAAAATCTGTACACACTTTTATGCGCAAGGAATATATCTTCTAGTCAACTGTAATAAAAAAGAACAAGTGAAAAGAAAGTATGGAATGTAAAATGGAAAGCTCAAGCGAGTGAATTATGCTCTTGCTTTTGGAACAGGAGGGGGAAATATACAATGGACAAAGGGATTTCTATAAGTGCTAAATAATCTAAAAGACCCTAATATTCTTATTTCTATTGGGAACCCAAGAGATAGGTTGGAAGGGGCCCTATTTTTTGCAAAACCACTTATTCCAGGTTTTATTTATCTACAGTAACCAAGAGAAGAAAGGAAGGTGGTATTATCAAAATGGAAGAGTGGGTATATATATACAAAATAAGAAGTTTTCTGTGTATGTGTTATGAACAGAGTCTTTTCTTTTTCTGTAGTTTACGTAAAGGGGTATCACGCAGAACAACAGAGTGGAGTATGTTTGGATGGAGTTGGACAATATTTGTATAATATCAAAAAATCGATATCTCGGCAAAAAACTCGACGATATCGTAGTGTTAATTCAGTAAGGAGCCGAAAGATACCCAAAAGAGCCCAAGGAGAATTTAGAAATGGAATAGTTTAAGAAAATTTATGGCAAATTTGGAGAATGGGTACATCAAAAATATATATGGCGTGGGGAGGTCAAAAAGTAATCCAAGGGGATAAAAAAAATACACGGATATGATCAAGTCATCAAAAAGTCAGGCAATGTTATCGACAGGCACAGGCACAGCGTATCATGGTGATGATAAAGTGGTTCTATCCTTCTTTTGACGCAATGTATTTTTAAAAATGCTCATAATCGTCGAGGTCTAGCTGTGCGATCAAATGGCGTCGAGTGTCACCTACCCGTAGTATAAATTTTTCAACAGAAGCATTTGAAATAACAAACTGGAACGATCAAAAAGATTCGAAATTTAGCCTTTTGAGTGTTAAGATCTTGCCGACGGTTACCAAATTAGGACAGGTTTATGGATGCCAATTGATTCTCGAGGCGCAGTGAAGATGTGGCGGCAAGATGCATGATTTTCTTGACCAAAGAAGCACATACTCTTATATTGTTGGCTGATGGCCCCTCCCTAGTCAAAGATGTATTACAAACGGTTCGGCCAACGTTCTGCCCGAATTGATATCAGTCATACGTAATCAGATTGATTAATACGACTAATGTAATGTTCTACAAACAAGCCATCTGTACACGCGGAGATTGTCACTCCGAATTAATGTTCGTGCACAGATTAATCGAACATTCTCGCCAATGAGATTTGAAGCAATATAAAGTCTTACGTTATAAATCATGTGTAAATAATGTCTAATAACAGCAGTCGGACGGAACTTGAATATAACAGGTAGACCGGGAGGACACAACCAATCTAGTAAAGTGAACGACACATGCGACCCTGAGAATATAGCATAAACTTAATGTTTGCTTTTTGCTTTTTGGCACAACACATATCTCTCGACTGAATGGCGGAACAGACATGCACTTTTACCTCATACCAAACAAATTGGTTCAAGGTGACGGGGTGGTATGGTTGTGTTAATACCGTGGTATTTGTCGAAAATGCCGTACCAGCACTATATCGTACCTTACTCGTACCATTGGTTTTGGACAAAGGTCATCCTTCGTAAATATATATAAACAAGCGTTTTGAATCCTACAAATAAAGAGGACAAGGGGTCTATTAACAATGGGACAAACGCTGCAAATAATTAATTAATGTGTTGGTGATACGCCATGAAATAAAAGCCTGTGGCAGTTCGTTTTATAGAATGTATGCTCGTTTCCGTCTACGTCACGATGCCCCTCGGATCATCAGGTATGATAACCTTTTTTATTCACATTACCCTGCTCGCCAGTGGTGCATGTTATTTCAAATACGCTAGAGTTGTAAAACAAGACGCATTCAATATAAATAACGTATCCTATAGATTGTAAGTGCATAAATAATAGTATTGAATGAATAGAATATGAGATTTGGTTGTCCCCGCACTCTCCCGGTGTGTATTGTGTGTGTTGTCAAACGTACAAGGTCTCTCTACGAATTACATGCCCAGCATAAATAAGGTTTATGTGGAATTTTTTGGCGGGTTAATACTTTCGGTTACTTTTTGCAGTGAGAATCTGAGCTGTAACACAAGAAATATAAATGTTCTCGAGCGGCAAAGTACCAGTGCATAAAATAGGCAATAAATAACACGTTATCATATATTTATTAAATCAATCCTATCAGCTCCGAGTAAATTGTTAGATACGTATGTCACCATCGCGGAATAACAAAACATCAGATGCCGTTTTTTCGTTTATCTCACTTGACATTTTTACAACATAGCTCGCTCCAATCAGGACTTGTCTTCATTTACTCTACCCTTTAGTCAATTCAATCTTATTCGACCATTACTTGCCTGCATCTAGTTAGAATTCAGGAGTAAAGAGTATGGAAAAGTTATTTTATGAGTACCTGTACGCTTGTCAAAGTAGAACTGGGATATACGATGGCGTTATGTGAGATAAACAATGGCAGAATATAGAGACAAATGTTGTAATAGCCACACATAGACAATGAGGAGATACAACATGTATAATATGATTTAGCATGATCGATAGATACTCTTGTTATTGTTGTTATGAAATAATATTATTAATAATAACATAACATGATTATTAATATTGTTATTATTGTGATCGTTAGTACTTATTAACTGTTAAATTATATAAGACTCATTGTTATTCGTTGCGTTGTGTTGTGTTGGTGTTTTTTGTTGTTGTCATCGTCGTTATTATTGTTGTTGTTATTATGATTATGATTGTTGTTGTTGTTATTATTATTATTATTATTATTATTATTATTATTTATTATTTTAATTATTTTTATTTTTATATTAATATTTGGGAAGTTATTAATACTTATCGAGAACTATTATTGTCATTTCCATTGTATTATAATGATTTTGCCTAACACAGGCAATTAGACATTGACAACATAATTGGGTTACATGCTCTATGAAATTTTCAATATAAATAAATTAATGATTGGAATGAATGATGAATACAATATATTATACATATTAATGCTACGCCCCACAAAATTATACCATGCTTGCAATATAGTTATCATACTCATGGCGACGGTTTGTTTATGGTAACAATCGTCTGCTCCAATCAACTTACAGATCCTCATTAATAAGAATATGTCCTCTCTCTCGAACGGCTGCTTAAACCCCTTTTCAACTCTTTGCCTCTTGTTCCGACAAATATAAAAAAACCAAAAAAATATTAAAAATCAAAAAAATATATATTTTCACGTTAAACACTGTTGTCAATAATAAAAAAATAAAAAAAAAAGTCATTGCGACAGTATCTAAGGAAAAAAAATTGCGTTGCATATAAAAAATTTTCATTTCTAGACATCTAATAGCTGTTACGATCCAACCTGCTCTTCACTAGCACGCTACCCGAACCACTCTCGCTCTTTTCTCTTACATAGAACCTACACACGTATTCAAATCCCACTAGATACATACCCTACTAGAACAAAGATGTCAACTGCCGTACAATCCACTGCTCAAAACTCCCCCGCCGTTCAACCAACTCCCGTGACCGGACCTCAGTTATCAGTCGAGCAACAACAACAGCAGATTGCTGCTGCTCAGGCTCAAGCCGCTGCTCAGGCCCAGTTTGGAAACCCTCCGGCTCCCCAAGCCTCTGCCTCGCTTTATGTTGGTGAGCTGGATCCATCAGTCACTGAGGCTATGTTGTTCGAAATGTTCAATATGGTCGGTCCAGTGGCTAGTATTAGGGTTTGCAGAGATGCCGTTACTAGAAGATCGCTTGGATATGCTTATGTGAATTTCCATAATGCTGTCGATGGTAAGTAATACGGACATTGATACAGTAGATCGATGGGCTGATTATAGAAATATCGTTTAGAAATGCAATATATTGGCTATGCTAATAACAGCATTCGAGATAAACATAGCATTACAAGGTAGAAATTAGCGTGATCTGTTTCTGCCACAGATTTGTTTCATCCTTAAGCAGCATGTTCAATCTTGGCTGCAGTTGCAGAACTTGATCTTGTTATATATCGACGCGAAGCCTATACCCGCAACGTGTCACATTCTTATTCGAACGAAAATCACTTAATCAAGATTTTTGCAACCAACTCATTTCTTTTATTTTCAACTTTTCTCGTAAATCTCAAAGGCGAAAGGGCTCTGGAAACCCTCAATTATACTTTAATCAAAAACAAACCATGCCGTATCATGTGGTCTCAGCGTGACCCTGCGCTGCGCAAGACAGGAACCGGAAACATTTTCATCAAGAATCTCGACAGGTCAATTGACAACAAGGCTCTGCACGATACCTTTTCTGCATTTGGAACTATCCTGAGCTGCAAGGTTGCCATGGAAGATGGTGTTTCAAAGGGATATGGCTTTGTGCATTACGAAACTGCTGAGGCTGCTGAGACTGCTATCAAGCATGTTAATGGCATGTTGTTGTACGATAAGATAGTGTATGTTATGTTCATTTTTATTAGATGCATATCGGTACAGCTAGCAACGCATATACTCACGTGAATATCTATTAACGCATTGTTTTTGTTTGCCTTTATCATTCAGTTATGTTGGCCACCACATTCCTAAGAAAGAACGCCAATCCAAACTAGAAGAAATCAAGGCCAAATTTACCAACGTTTACGTAAAAAATCTCAGCACCGAAGTGACTGTTGAAGAACTTGAAGAGCTCTTCAAGAAATATGGTGCAATCACTTCCGCTGTAATCCAAACTGACGAACAGGGAAATTCTAAAGGCTTTGGTTTCGTAAACTTTGAAAACCATGAACAAGCGGCGGAGGCAGTCAACGCTCTCCATGATTCTGAATACAAAGGCAAAAAGCTTTTCGTCTCACGTGCTCAGAAAAAACATGAACGCGAAGAAGAATTGCGCAGACAGTACGAGCAGGCGAAGTTGGAAAAACTTAACAAATACCAGGGTGTTAATTTGTATATCAAGAATTTAGAAGATGACATCGATGACGAAAAATTGAGACAAGAATTCTCAGTCTATGGGTTGATTACTAGTGCTAAGGTTATGAAAGATGAAAAGGGCACGTCGAAGGGTTTCGGATTTGTGTGCTTTTCGTCCCCTGATGAGGCTACTAAGGCTGTTACTGACATGAATGGGCGTATGATTGGTTCCAAGCCCATTTATGTTGCTCTCGCGCAGCGTAAAGATGTTAGGAAATCTCATCTGGAAGCTCAAATTAATCAGAGGAACCAAATTCGCATGCAGCAGGTATGTCGACAAGAAAAGGCCTTTGACCGTATTTTGTATAATCCTTATATCTTTCGCTTGCTTTCTTCGTACTTACTTTCATTCCTCTATAGGCCGCTGCTGGAATGACCAGCGGTCCCGGTTATTTCACACCAAACATGTTCCCTGCCGCTTTGTATGCTCCACAAAATCAACGCGGTGGTGTTGTCTTCCCACCGCAACCAGGTATGGTCCCTCCACCAGCTCCACGACCCCGCTGGTTCGCTCAACCACAAAACTCGTATGTTCCACAATCAATGGGCATCCAGAACACTTCCTCAGGACGCGGTCGTAATCAAACTCGTTCAGGTGCTCCACCTCGTGGTGGACCCAACAATCAAGGTCGACCTCAAGGGACCACCACGAGCCAACCGAATTCTACCGGACCAAATTCACGTTTACCGGCCGGCCGTGCGAATTTCAAGTTTAATTCTCAAGCGAGAAATAATGGGCAAGCTAATCAACAGGGTGGCTCATCTGGGACTACCGTTCCACCGGCTTTGACTGCTGCAGCACTCGCTGCAGCGCAGCCGGAACAGCAGAAGCAGATGCTTGGTGAACAGTTGTTCCCGAAGATCAATGCTAGACAGCCTGATTTGGCCGGAAAGATTACGGGAATGTTGCTGGAAATGGATAATAGCGAATTGTTGCATTTATTAGAAAGTCCCGAGGCGCTTGAGGCAAAGGTATGGATTCGGATTTTAGTCTTATTGTTGATTCTTGGGCTGTTTGCTCAGATGCTGTTACTAACGTTCGTTATTATATTATAGGTTGAGGAAGCCGTAGCTGTTCTTCGGCAACATGCGATGACTAGTAGCGGTGACGACAATGCCGCAAATTAAATGATTTGTACTCCAACAGACGAAAGTATCGATTAAATTATTTTAATCTACTTCGTTCTCTGTTCCTATCATTTACCATCGCCATGAGTATATTGTTTGGAGTCTTGTTTTCCGCCTGATCAAGCATTATAGGTTAGATAATATTCGATGTTGCGTTTATTAATTAATACTAAATTGAAGACCCTTTAATTTTAATTACCGCAATTATTCTGGAGATGCATCCTATCGATTAAATTATTTAGTCTATTCGGCTCTCTATTTTACTTACCGTTACCGTGAACGTATTGTTTGTCCATGCATTTTTGATCGTCATATTGTAAGCTGAGATGACCAGAGTATGATATCAATCTCAGTAAGACTGACGTAGTATTTATAACCCATGATTGCTGTCAGTCAGATCTATCCAGCTTATTTCTCATTTATATTATGCCTATTCGCCGGCGCATACTACGAATAATAATAGTCTCAAATCCAATAACTATTTAATGTCACAAGCCGTCAATTCTCTTTAATATTAGGTACCAAAAATTGACCGGTCAAATTTATTAGGTTATCGTTCTTGATGGAGAATCGTTATGATTGAAGCATCTTTGTCGTTTAGATTATACACAAAACCCTATAGGAATCGCTTCTATCAGGTCATTAAATTGTGAATTGACAGACCTCGAACGAATTAGGATAATTTTTTGTCAAGTCACTGTACGTTGCAAAATTCAACTGCGGGATTACGGACGTTCCGGCCATAACTTTCGAGCGATTGACAAATCAGTAGCAGTTATAGAATAACACATTTGACAAAGGAAGTCATAATTCGAGCAGAAGCTTGTTAAATGAACACATCCAATTGACGAACAAGGGTGTCAGTTGTATTCTGATGTATTTCTGAAGTAGAGCAGAAAGATGATTCGCGATCATTAAACGCAGGGGAAGTAATAGCGTTGTAGGGGTTGTCTCGTCAATAGCACAATTTTAATCACGTGATTTGGTTTCGGAGAATCTGTTGTGCGTGTGATCTGCATGCAAGTGATCATACCACACCAAAATAAGGTGTTTTCCTCATTCTTTGAATTATAGATGAGCTTCCAAAACGTCGTGAAGATTCCTCCGCGCGTGGCAGAGACTTCAGAGTTGGACCATCTCCAAGGCATTGATTCCTCAGCAACTTAGCATCTTGACAAAGAGATATTAATATTGACTCAAAGTTTCGAGGAGCTGCGTGTCATTTCTAGACATTCAGTTAACCAATTTTCCAAGGTCAATATTTTCTTCCTGAAATTACTCGGAGCATACTCTCTGATGTTGACAGCCTTGGGATTACAAACCGTTCTGTCCTTGACTTTTTTAACAAACTGCACAAAGTTGTGTTGAATGAGACTGTGGCGAGAGGAAGAGCCGGAACAAAAACCGATCCTCTAATGGACGCATTGTTGGGCCAAATGAACATGGATTGAGTAATTATAGAAATTTTTCTTTTTTGGTTTTTATACGTTATAATGCTAGATTTGCTCCCCAAAACCTGGAAAGCACCCCCTGTTAAAATCATTCATGGAAGGCTAACCTCGTGTCTCAGCAGACCTAGAGTTAATAGAAGATCAACAATAAAATGCATGTATTTTGAGAGTCTACATACGTTGATGGCGTAACATGTCCATAATTTTGTCAACTCAAACAACTTTTCAACAGGATAAGCGCACAGATATGTTAGGCCGGAAACTTGCTGCAGATCGCTGCAGAATGTGGATTTGAAAACACAAATGCCGCGCTAGTGCAGTAATAGATCAAACTATATGTCATTCCACGTACATCACATTCTACAAAGCTGACTTCGTTGAGTATCGGACAGAATTTTCCAATGTTTACCAAAGCAGCATTCAATCGTGATCAATAGGTGGCTTTCGGCTGATACGTATTAGTGTGATCTGGCAAGAGAACAATGTTGGAAACCTTGGTATCTGTGAATTTATCTTGCAACGAGATGTATTGATAGATAGCATAGGGGAAGTAACGCCAGCATGCGAGATTAGCCATCATTTCAGCTACTATCAGCGCCATTAAATGCTAAAGCAAACAGTCATATGGCAATTAGAACTATCCAGTAAATAACAAGACTCGGTTGACTCGTTTTGATAAGAATCTTTTTCTATCGAAACTAAATGACGGACGATATCATAACATTGATTTCGTTTATAGCATAAGGATAGTACGACAACATTTTTCGAGTGATTGCAGACTACCTTTATAATGACTCTAAAATAGAAAGCACATCAGGTTTTTGCACTACGAATTAGTAAGTTTGGAAATAAATATAAGTACCTTGACAGAAAGGCTTGCGATATAGCAGAAGTAAAATTTATCCACTTCGTGTGATAATTAAACTGTTGTCGGACGAGAGGTGTAACTTGCTGCCTTCTGATGTCTTTAACCAAGTCATAATTTTGGTTAGAATGTAGCGTATTAAGCTCTGCTCTGATAACAGCATCACTTCCATCGCGAATCAAATATTGGTGAAAGCTATAGACATTGCCGGGTTCATGAAGAGTTCTGATCCAATTTCTTGAAAGCATCATGTAAGACGGCAAATGAGAAAGTATACTGTAACGTCCACTAGCGCCTTGCGATATCTAAAAGAAGCGGAGAACTAGTAAAGTGGTGTTTGTTATCAACCGTCATGTAATTATATGTATATCGACAACACTTGTCTAAATGTTCAGAAACGTTATTTATTCAGTTCATTCTGCACAGTCTATAACTCGTAAATGCGACATTGTTGTATTCATTGAAATGCATAAATTACATTGTCTCTACTAATCACCATTCCCTCTGTAATTACATGTATATTATAGTACATTGATCAACGCAAGGTTCCCAACAAAAATCCATAAAATCTAAGATTGAACTAAAACCCAGTACGTCGCAATGTCGCGCTCATAGTGCTTTGTAAGACATTGGTTGCGGTGTTGGCAAGATTTGCACCTAAATCACGCGCAACAGCACCAGCGCTACTTTTTGTAATCGAAGCCATTGCTCCTACACGCTTTTTGACCTTATTATTTGATTCATTCGCAGCATTAACAATTTCATTCAAGTTCGTTTCCAAGACCTAATCGGAAACAAACTACTATTAGAAGAGTGAAAGACAAAGGGTCCCAAAAACTTTTTTATACTTGCCATCCCACCGGACACCACTTCGGCGAGTATGTGATGCACCTATGAATAGTCAAATTGTCAAATCGAATTACTGAATCAAACAAGTGATTGGCCGTAATTAGCTTACTTCTTCGAAATGAAAGATCTAGAAATATTCGGGACAATAAAACTTTATTAGCCATCAACAGGGTACAATATGGGAATGGGGACATTACTCACCAGGTCAAGCTCGCAAACGTTCTCAAAGCACCTATCAAGACCCTCTACGAAAACCTAAATACACAGCACATCATTTATATAGACTCTTTTGCACATCACGTATATTCCCTCTTTTCACTCACCTGTATCAGATCGAGAATTCCTAATTCACTCTCAGATTCGTCGACAACAAACACAAAATATAAAGTCGCATAGTGTCTGTAAATGACTCGAGTGTCACTACCGCCGAGCATTTGACTGCCTTCTAGAAAATTACAAACAGTATCTGGGCGTTTGGAAACGAGTTGAAATATCTCTTGTACTAGGTTTTGTTGGGTTGGAACGTCCTAAAAATAGATCAGAGTCAACCTGCGCTCGTGCATAGCCTGAGTTATGACAGAAAGATGACAGTATAAGCTATTTACAATTTGTTGATAAAACTTGATCAAGCGTGGTCTGCCATGGTTGTTGAATATTAGCACGGATTTAATCATCCTTTGGTGTCCTATCTGGCGAAAGATAAGGTGAGAATAATTACAGTTTTCGATGGCGTCATGTGAAACATTTTTGTGTAACAATGTATTGGAAGATGTTCTTGCGACTGAGATTGTCGGGTCTCCTGTGAAGGTGGACAGCTTGAATGATCAAGAGCGTCATGAGGTCGTTAAGGCGCTTTCGCAGATTCATGTTTATGTTTATGGTTTTCTCCACAAGGATATTCGTGCAGAGAACATTCTTTTTCAGCGTAGTAATGGTGGTTTCAGGGTGTCTTTTATTGACTTCGCACTTTCAAAGCGAAACAATAAAAAGATAGAATTTGTAATTGAAATGAGGCAATTGAAAGTCTCCTGGGCCTCCTGTTTCCTGATGCTAAGGCTTAATCAAGACAATGTATGTCAATGTCAACTGGTTTGTGATATGCAAATGAGCTATGCTTACAATAAAAAGTCTTTTTTTTCTGAAAGTCATGATTCAACAAAAATGAAACTTATTAAAATTAATACATATTAATATATAGAATTATTCCTATATAAATATAAATATGAAACTAATTTACATCAAATCCATATTATTATGGAACCAAAGAATTAGAACACTATTCAAAGTATTTAAAGAAAGAACAAGGGGAAAAAATTGCTCCATACGTTTTTAAAATCAATGACACCCAAGCACTCCAGGAATATCTAGATAAAGAAAAAATCACTTGAGGGAGACATCCGCGTTTTGCTTCTGTCAACCATTGAAATAACTCCTCTTCTGTAGTTGGGGCTTTAGATGCTCTTTGTTGAATATAACATATATTACAATAAGAGAAACTTACAGCATAAACATCAGATCTTTTATTCATTTGATCATTTTCTTTTGCGGTTTGAAAATCAACTCGCGTTTCGTTTGTTTTAATCATCCTTTCCTAAATAAACTTTATGTTAGTAAAAAAAGTTTCAAGTGTAGCCTGAAAAGATCCCTTCTTACTTTTGCTTGTAATATCCTTATTATTATATGCATTAAGGTATCTCCTATGGTTTTCAAACAATTTTCTTTCTGATAAGATCATTTAGAAAGCAAATTAATCGAATTGTAATGAGAAGAAACTATGATCAAATAATAGAATGCCTTACATTCTGTTTATTAACAATATTACGAACATACTGTATGATGTCATTGCTAATGCATCCGACCATAGTTATATCAGTGAGATTTTGTCTATACTAATACTATTATTACAATTATTATTACAATTATTATTACAATTATCAAACACTTGTGTTGGTGATATGGTGGGATTTTATTCATAGGCGAATCTTGTAAATAAGTCGACACAATTCCACTTGGCCAACGATGTTTTAGCAAAATTGACTTATTCTAGAGTGTGGTCGACAAAATTTTGCATCTAGTTTGAACTTATCAATCTTGGTCATCTATTATTTGTAGAAAAAATTTGATTAATCGACAGTAATATGAAGTTCATATGCCTATAACTCTTGTAAGCTCCATCCGGGTACAAGTTATTCAGTCGCAACTATGTGGTTGAATACATAGAAGTTCCAGGCAATCTTAACAGATGACTTTAACTATCCCTTTCGTGTTGAACGATCAGGTAGAAAAGCAGACCTCCTGAACACAGACCAATACTCTCCCAGAAGTAAACTCTTTCCGCCAACCACTCCTCTTACACGTGTGTTGAACACGGAAGATTTGCACGTAAACCCTGGAGCATTACATTCCAGCATCCTGTATGTCTGACCAGTTGTCCACCCTGTTGTGTTGAACTCCAAGGCAAAGTCTGGTGGTTCCCGTGCAACAAAGGTGGCGCGTGTACATTGGAAAAACAGAAATATCAGTAATACTTAACCTTTAGTAACTTTTACGCGCGAATAAGGTAGTAAAAAACGTACAAATTTAATATTACACAACGCCCTCATCATCAATCATTGGTCGAAATCATGTGCCGGACAGAGAAATTCATGTGATCGAAATTTTTTATAGCGCAGCGTCGCGTTGCTCCGGACAATAACGAACGTTTGTTAAGATGGATCTGTCTCTCGTCCTCTTTTTAAAGGTGGGTTATATTTAAGCATACCATTCGTTATGTATGATACAAATTCATTTTATTGTTTTTTATTTTGTAGTATGTTTAACCCTTCTGGAAAAGGTACACGCTATGAACGAATTATTCTTAGAGTAAAGGGATTTGGGCTTATAGATTGAGGTAAGAAATATTTTCTTACTGAGTATTTGTTGAGTAATTAGTATCTGAAGGACCGCCACTAGGTGTAAAAAATCGTAATTTGGATACACATTATGCCACTCTATAACTTTGGTATCAAGCTTGCTTTACTTATTACTTGAGTTATTAGTTAGATAGATATTAATGTATGTATCTGAAGGTACGCTGCCACTAGGTGTAAATCAAAGTTTCGAAAACACATAAGGTGTAAATAAATCGAAACTTGTTACCGAAAGCTGCTGGCGTTAGGCCGGGTTGTGGTGAATAGGATACATTAGAACATCAATATTTCTTAACGTATAGTGGTTGACTTGTTGTGTATTTTGAATTTCGTTACTGAAAGCTGCTGGCGTCAGGCCGGGTTGTGGTGAATAGGATACATTGATCATTTGAATTATAAGCGTTTCGTGGCTGCAGCTTGCGAAAGTCGCCTGTTGTGAACGTTCTTCAGATAGTCTTGACTATGATGACACAATTACTCACGAACATATTCTCTAGGTGAAGAATTGGCTCATAATCCGACGCTTGCGGTAAATACCTAGGCAAATATTGGCGAAAAATAGCTCTGACGGTCTACTATTACCATAAAGGACAATCGAATTGGGACGAAGACCTTTCCCCCTGGATGTGGGCTTCGGCACGGAAACTCGTGGATGATTATCGCGGCGTTACGAAAAGCGAGACGTTTTTGTGAGTATGTGATAATATTGAATCATTGATCCACTTGAATTTGCTAATAACATGCTTTTATAGTCCTCTTTTCTTCTATATAATTGATCACTCCGGCCAGCATGGGCCTACGACAAAGTTGTTGGGTCGGTATCTTAGATCCATGCGGCTGTCTCTGCCGGAGACCAAATTTATCTTGCCGGGACTCTCGACGGAGCAAAATCAATTTTTGGACAGCCTTCTTGCCGTAATTATTGGACTTCATGATCGGTCAAGGCATCAGCCGATTTCAGCATCAGACGTGACATCAACTACTAATACTGGTTTGAGATGGCCTCAATATCACTGACCTGTTTTTACCAACCAACACAGAGTGTAATGCATTCGTGAACCGAAGGCTGACGATCTAGAAGACGTTCGGACACAGACATCAGAACAGAGGCAAATTAAATTTATGGTGGAAAGAATGTAAGTCGGAATCAAATTCATTATTCTTAACCGTTATCAATTACTGGTCAGGTTCGATTCGATTGCAAATGTGAACGCCGAAACAATAACCGAACATGAACACATATCTCGTAATATCATGCCCTTATTTGATGCCACGATTCGACAAGCACCCAATACCGTGTTCGAAGATAGTTAATTATTATTTCTTCTCAGCGCGTTACTTTTTATTAAGAGCCCAACTACAGACTACCGAATTAATCCACCGGTAGAGAGTAGTTATTGTTTCTCAGAATAATTAATTATCTAGGATTAGTGTGTGCGATCCGTATACGAATACGTCAGCATGTTAAAGCCTAACTAACACGTCACTAACTGTTTGTTACGATTTAGTTATCGCTGAGGTGAGCCACACTCCTACGACGGCATAGCTAGATCCCAAACCGAGACAGTAGTTATCCGCTCTCCCGGGACTATTGCCTCGACACTGAATACCATAAAGTTGTCATGGGAACTCCGCAACATATGGCAGATGGTGCAGGACGTAGACGAGCTACTTGCCATTGACATGAGCAATGTGGTGATCTGGGGCTTCACGATAATTGGTGAGTTGATATCTGGCGTTTTTTTTTGAGATAGCATCAACTCTGACCATTGTTGTTATATGGTTAATATAGGCCGAATCGTCCGTATATAATAAACAAACTAAGAATAGAAGACAGAAAAATTGAACAATTATGCCAAAAGCTCATATGCTCTGTTAAAAGAAGAAAAGTAGAATTCTGCTTACTCTGGTGCAAGTCTTGATTTCACTTCATTCTTGCATATCAAGCACCACTGCCGTCATCAAAAACTGACATGTGCAACATCAAGTTAGCATATTGTAAAGTGGGGAACACATGTACGCACCAATGTTTACGAGGAAATCTCTACTTTATGTAGAGTACTATCACCTCTACTTCATGTCACCTGTGCTTTTGCGCATCCTTAATTTGTCACTACCTTTGCGTAGTGTATCGTTCTGATCTTAATGCTAATATTTATTTATCTATTAATATAGGA